TAGCACTAGGGAGTTTCTTCGCAGTCATAGAACCGGTCTAGAACATAGTCCACACGTGGGATAAAATTCCATTGACCATATACCAACAAAAAAAGGGGTACGCATATAAACTGATGAAATCCAAAGAAGGACTGTACCAATGTGAATTTCTTGGGTTTAACATTGTTGTGTATGATTATGTAATACATTCCTGGGAGAAGCTGGATGCAGATACATGAGAATTCTTTGTTCTGTTTTGCAACTGGGAGTCTAAGATTATTTCAAAGTTAAAAGTTTTCAAAAATTTGGAGGGGTGTGGCGGTGCTATCTGTAGCATCCTGTGGCAATCTTTTCAATTTTTCCTAGAATATATTAAATAAAGCCCCTGAAGAATTATAAATTAAATGCAGTTTCTACATGCTATAATTCCACTTCATGTGCTTTTGATTTAGAAATTATCTTGTAGTATTGTCACCACTATTCTGTATTGCTACAAACACACTGAGTGCATGTACAGAGAGCCCTCTGGTGAGTTTTCCTCCAGGGCAGAATGACTCCTGGCCTGTGGGCGTGTCACCCCTGGGCTGCGGCCTCTGTCACCTCCGTGGCCACAGCCTCTGTCTGGGACGCATCCTGGGTGCCCTCCTTGCGACCCCCTCTTCCCCACACATCCCCTTTCCTTAATTCGTGAATCAATGAGTGGTTTAAGTAAAGTGGGAAGAGTAAGGAAGACCCGGTCCAAACTACGCTTCCTCTGCAAGGCAGAGCAGCTCCGATGGCGCGGCACTTTTCCCACTCCCAGGGCCGGAGCATTGGATTGCACTCTGGGATTCCCTCGCCCGGCGCCCACCTGAATCTGCAGATTCCTTGAGGGCCTAGATGGGGTCCTGTTCCCTCCCAGGTCCTGTGCCAGCACGGTGCCCGGCCACAGCCTTGGGTGCCAGGAGCGCACACTCCAGGCTGTGGGGAGGGAGGGAGCGAACTGAGGCTCTGCATAGTCCCAGACATCCACTGTGTCTGATACAGCTGTTTTCCCCAAACTAAACCTGAGTGATACAGCTATTCTTCCCGAAACTAAACATCAAGCAATAAATCAGTATTTAAAGTGTTGTTTTCTGAATATTAAAGTGAAGACTTTCTTATATTAACAATTTCCAGCCAGGAATGGTGGTTCATGCCCATAATCTCACCACTCTGGGAGGGCGAGGCGGGAGGATGGCTTGAGTCCAGGATTTCAAAACCAGTCTAGACAATATAGTGAGACCTTGTCTCTACAAAAAAATTTTAGAAATTAGCCAGGCACGGTGGCACATACCTGTAGTCCCTGCTGCTGGATCACCTGAGCCCAGGAGGTCGGGACTGTGGTGAAGCATGATCATGCCACTGCAGTTCAGTCTGGGCAACAGAATAAGACCCCGATTCAAGAAAAAAACTTCCTCACCTTACTTTTCGTGTGTGGCCCAGTGCTCCAAATGGCTGGAGAACGATTGTGAGGCTGTGCCCCTGAGCCTCCTCGGACAGACAAGACCAAGAACTCAAGGGCAGGGGCTGGAGTCCAAAGGGGGAGGGGTGGGGTGAGATGTAGAGCACAGACCTCATGTCAAGCTGAGAATTCAGCCCAAAGTGTTGAGGCGTGCTCCGCCCTGCTTGCAGACTCCTGCAGGCAGATCCCTGCTAGTTCCCGGCCCACATCCTCGAGGTAGGTGGCCTGGGACTCCCATCGTCTGCAGGTCTCGCTCCCACCCCCACATGCCAGCAAGTGACTCAGATTCCATCCCTGCATGTTGCGCTCTCTACGGACTGGACCGTGTCCCCACCTGAGGTCTGCAGCATCATTAAGCAGGGCAGTGGCCTCCCGGGTGAGGCGGGGCCTCTCCTGTTGCTGTGGCCCCCAGCGGTCCTCAAACTTGAATCATTCTCTGTTTTAAAGATGAAAGCAATAATAAACCTGTTCCCCATGTCCCAGAGTTCCCGTTTTCTCTTCGCTGCTCTCTGACGTGCTGTCAGCTGTAAGGACCCAGTGCAGTGCCACCTTCTTCCAGAAACCCTCTAGGCACAGAGCCCCGCTGTCCCTTCCCACACACGGGGCACTTAAAGCCAAAAGTGCTTTCCCCATGCTTCATCTAGTCATGCGCTCTGCTTTGTGGCATTCCTTGTCATTTCATAAATTACTCATTCTCCAACCAAACAAAGACTCCCTGAAGATAAGACCCTGTCCTCAGGGGACCTCAGGGGGCTGGACCATGTGTGGCAGTGGTCAGTAGGCACCGGCGGGTTGAGATGAAGGGGATGTTGCAGTAACTTGGAAAGAAATATGAAGAAGAAAACCTCTGAAATGCCTTTCCCCCTCCTCATTCTCAGGGTGAAGTCAGAGCAAGTCACCCTGACCTCGAGCCGTGCAGAATCAAATTGCTCTCCTGCCAGTGTGGTGGTGTGGAAGGAGCCAGGAGTTGGGTTCAGATAGCTCCACTCAGCTCTGCCCTTGTCAGTGGTTGATCTTGAACTTGGGCAAAACACTCGAACCCTGAGCCTTCATTTTCTCGATGTGCAAAACAGAGGTCATACCCAAGGCTTTTTGGAGATGAGAGCTGTAACCCCCAAATGCAGCATTTCTGGCGGGATATCTAGGCACCTTGGTGGGCCAGGAGAGAAGCCACCAGAAGGCAGGCAAGCACGTCCCTGCTGGTCGGGGTTGCCTGTCTCCACTCAGGCTCAGTCTGGAGGCGGGGGTAGTGTTGGCATGGAGAGTGGCAGCCCACCGGAGAGAGGACAGAATCAAGCCAGCACGGAATCTCAGTTTGCTCTGGACGTCTTCAGGGCCGATGTTCTGGTGGGAAGGGTGGAGGGTAGGTGAGCAGTCTGTGCTTCGTCAAGGGGCAAAGAAGTAAACCCGGGAGGATTCTGAGGGTGGGGGTGTGGGTGGCAGGAGCGCACAGAGCAGAGAAGCAGCTGAGCATGGGGTCAGGGAAAAGCAGGCTCAGCCATCCATAGACGCAGCATTCAGAGAAGGCGGGGGACACATACCCAGCCGCACGATGCCGACAGCCACCCCAAAGAAGCGTGGTTCTAAAGGAACGTGAGGTGGCTGTGTGTGGCCCAGAGGCTGCGGTGTGCTTTTGGGGCTGCAGGACTGTTAGGGAAACATCAAATGCCCCAGGCTGCTGGCGACAGCAGTGTTCCTGTTCCAGCACTCCTGTGTCCTCAGGCTGGCAGCCCTTCCCCAAGGCAGGGTGGAGGGGCGCCAGCAGGCTTCTGGGCTCTGCTCAGAACCTTCCTGAAGCTCTGCTCTGGGAACGCCAGCAGCAATGTGTTGTGTGCATCAGGGGCTGGTTTTCAGTCCCTGGCTGCGTTCCACGGCCCCGTGCTGCGTCTGGCGGCCAGAGTGTACTGCCTCCTCTGCCCCCTTCTCTTCCTGAGCCAGCAGCGCCTCCTCGGGGTCCACAGACCAAAAAGGAGGGTAGACAACCCCTTCCGAGCCCACTTGCTATCTGACCCTCACACCCTGGTTTGTCCTCGCCCGTTCATTCATCCACTCATCCATCCATTCGAGAGGGGCTGGGCAACGCTGTGGACCCAGCTCCAAGCCGGGCATGAACTGAAGTGAGGAATGGACAGCACCAGCACCCGGCACCACCCTGTCCACCTGAGGCAGCCAAGGGCAGAAAGCCAGCCAGTCCGTGCTCCTTGCAAGGACCCTAACCAGAGGATATATGGGAGGGGACCAGGGAGCTGGAAAAAAGAACAGGAGGCGAGAATGTCCATGAGTCTCTGCCTGTGGGTCGAACTTGCTCAGCCCCCAGGGCAGGGTGACAGTGAACCTCCAATTACCACAGGCGGGTCTCATTCTCAGAACAGCCCTGTGCTCTGTGACCAGTCATTCCGATTCTGAACACATGAAAACTACGGCTTGGATGCCTCCACCCACTTGTCAGTGCCTCACAGACAGCGAGTGGCAAAGCCTCTGCCGTGAGACCGCTCACCACCCCCGGAAGCCTCCCCGAGGCTGCTTGGGTGGATGCGGGACTCCATGGACATTTGTCAACTTAAAACCTAGGTGTTGCCGGCACGGTAGTTCACGTGAGGTGAGAGGATTGCCTAAGTCCAGGGGTTCGAGACCAGCCTGGGCAACTTGGCGAGACCGCATCGCTACAATAAATCAAAAAACTAGTCAGCCATGATGACAGGCACCTGTGGTTCCAGCTACTTGGAAGGCTGAGGCAAAAGGATTGCCTGAGCCACACAGGTCACGGCTGTGGTGGCCGTGAGCATGCCACTGCCCTCCAGCCTGGGCGACTGAGTGAGACTCCGACTCAAAATAAAAAAATAAATAAAACATAGGTGTTTGAGGAACTTAAAGATCTCCGGTGGACAGCCTTTAGAAGGAAGGGCTGCCTTTCTATTCGCCCACCTAGGTGGACCCCTCTAAGATGAATTCATTTCAGCCTTGAGAAGCAGTTCTGTTTGCTTTGCTCCCAGGTTTCCGTCAGCCCTTGGCCTGCCAGTCGTACTGCCTCACCAGAGCTCCCCTAGGGGCTCCTTCCCCTGGCCAGTGGGATGGGTATGGCAGCATCGTCCTGACCAGCACAAGAGAGCCTCTGACTGTGGCCTGGCAGGATGTGTCCAGGGCCCCAGTGACAGGACCTCAGCAGGGCTCTAAGACCCAAGAGGGCTGGGAAGACCGAGTCCTGGGGAAGCTCCTGTCCCCACCGGAACTTGCAACGTCCAGGGCCCTGCCCACATCTGCCGGGGTGGGTGTGTGCTGGTCCACGCTGCCCCGCACTGCTCCACTGCCCCACTTAGACCCGTGACTAGCCCAGCCTCCTGTGAGTCAGGCCCTTGCTCTGCCATGAGAAGAAGGTGATTGGCCAGGTCTGCTGGGGCTTTGTGACCCGCCTGCAGGGCTCCCCCAGCCCCTCAGAGCCCTTCACCCTTCCTCATAGTGCCTCGTGCAGGCCCAGAGTAGCCTGGACGTCTGACCCGCGGGCAAGGGGGGGCGACTCTGCCGTTTCCCAGAGGGGAGGGGCAGCCCGGTGACAATGGGCATAGCCCCACGACAGGAGCGGGAGACGTTTCGGCCGGCTCCGCAGAGTTCTCTCTCCTCTGGTCCCACAGCGCCCATTCTGGTTTCCCTGGCAGGTAGGCTGGCATCTGTGGAGCAGCACATGTGGGAAATCTGGAGCCGGGGAGGGGTCGTGTTCAGAGCCAGATTCAGGAAGCCCAGACGGCTGTCTCTGGGCAGAGAAAAGCACGGTTCTATCCCCCGTCTCCCTCCTGGACCAGCCAGTCCCTGGTCCCAGAGACCAGAGGCCATGCTGTGGTAGGCCCCTGCGGGTGCCCTGGGATGCTGGTTGTCTGTGCCAGAAACACTGTGACGCCAAACGTGTGGAATGCCAGGCTCTGTGCTCAGCGCCTGAACATGTTACACTCGATCCTCAGATCAGTTCTGCTGTAGGGACTGTCACTGTCCCCCACGTTACAGCTTAGGAAGCTGAGGCCTAAAGTAAACAGCTAAGTCAAGGAAGAGCCAGGATTTGAACCCCAGAGGTCTCCCTTTTTGGAGCTTGCTGAAGACCTGCCCGTTGCCTCCAGTGAGGCGGGAAGACTTAGTGTATCTCTCACTGGTCAGAGGACAGAGGCCTGGGAATGGCAGGGGATTCCTTCAAGGACCAGCCAGAGAGGCTGCACAGAAGGAACCCTAGAGAATTGGCGAAGACAAAGGGCCCCTGCATCGTCCTCAAGACGTTTTGGAAGCTCAATTTCCCTGGAGGATTTAAAAACAGCCAAAATTAGGTTGAGGTTAGTGTGTGAAGTTTCAAAGTTCCGCAGGCCTGTCGGCCATCATTCTGGCTTGAGAACATAAGCACCTAGGTCTGAGTACAGCCCTCGTTGTCTGGGAGAAAGCAGATGGCCCCTGGAAGTTCTTTGACCGTGGGCTAGTGAGAGTTGGTCTTGCTGGCTGTTCTCAAAGCCGTAGTCTGCAGGGTGGCCAGCAGTTCCCCTCCCAAGTGAGAGCTGTCACCGTCTTTCCTGCTGCAGAAGGTCACCCATGCACCGTGAGCCCTATGGTCCTGGCATGTTTCTTCCCATGACTCCAGGCCTGGGGGCAGAGTCAAGGCCCGACAGGGCAGGTCTCTTCCAGGCCACGGCTCAGGCCGGTCCTTGAATAGAGTTTCCAGCTGCCCAGATAGTGGCATGCCCCTGACAGCACCGTGTGCCAGACATGGGTTTGGAAGACCCTGCTGTCGCGCCTCTGAGTGGTTTCTGGCCACGATCGTGGGGGCAGTAGAAGCACTCTGCTGACAGGCCTGTCATTCCCGGGTTTCCCCAGACCGTGTTGGCTGCTGCTGGGGGCAGCTGACCCACCAGCCTGAGGGTGGGCAGAAGCTGCAGCGCTGCCTTGGGTCAGGCCCAAGGCAGCCCCTGGCTCAAGAAGCGTCAGAAGTTGGACCCGTGGAAGAGCTCAAGCTGGCTCTGGGATCTTGTTTGGTCTGGGAACCTAGAACAGACCCAAAGCCCCAGGCCACTCCTGCCAGCTCCGCTCTTGGGGGACTTCTGGGCCAGGAGTGGGCTTTCCACTCACTCCCATTCCTGACACCACCCGGTTTGGACTGAACCTGACTTCTTTGGGGGACCATAGTAAAGTCCGGGGCGCTCCCTTTTCTAAACTGAGCCCTGGAATGGGGGATTGGGGATGAGAAAGCGCGAAGAGGCATCTTTGCTCGGACCAGGTGCCGCCTGCTGACCATGTACACTGTTCCACGTACAGTGCAAGTCTAGGAAAGGAAAATGAGGAGTCCGCCCCGCTTCCTGGCGTGGCAAGGGGTGAGGCGGCATGGAAGCCGGTTTCTTCATGCAGCTCTAACAAGTGAGGCAAAAAATCCTGGCAGAGACTCCTGTTCAGCCTGGATGAGCCCTTCTGAGCCACATGGACCCCACCCAGGGCACAGAGGGGCATGCCTGAGAGGACCTAGGCCATCCTGTGTGGAGCTGAGGGCACTGCTCCTGGAAGCCCGCAGGGGCCAGCATAACTGGAGGCATGTTTTGCAATGCCTTCTTAAAGGCACTGTTGCCACTCATGGAATCAGACTGATCAGAGGTGTGGAAATGCCCCCTGTCATTGGGCACTGACCGAACTGGGAATTTCTGGCTCAGAAGACTTTGGGGATTTTTCAGTAGCCCCAAGAGCAAGGCCTTTCGTTGTGTTCCAAACTCCGGGGAAACCGGAGTTATTCCCTTTGGCTGGCCCTACCCCCCGGGAGTGGCAACACAGCCAGCCTATGCCGTTGCAGCACAGGCCAGTAAATCCCAGCTATGCACACATGTCAGAGGAGGACTGTGTCTCTCATACCTAGCTGCACACCAGAATCACTTGGGGCATTTTTTTTTTAAGTATATATGTATAATAGGCCAGGTGCAGTGGCTCACACCTGTAATCCCAACATTCTGGGAGGCTGAGGCAGAAGAACTGAGCACAGGAGTTTAAGACTGGCCTGAGACCTCTTCTTTACAAAAAATAAGAAAATTAGCCGAGTGTAATGGCATGTGCCTGTAGGCCCAGCTGCTTGGGAGGCTGATGCAGAAGGATGGCTTGAGCATATGAGACCAAAGCTGCAGTGAGCCATGATTATGCCACTGCACTCCAGCCTGGACGACAGAGTGAGACCCCAAATCAAAAAATATATACATGTATGTATAATATATGTGCATAATATGTAACTTATAAGCCTGGGCAACATAGTAGGACCCTATCTCTACAAAAAATGTTGAAGTAACTGGGCAACCATGCCCAGCTACTTGTGAGGCTGAGGTGAGAGGATCACTTGAGACCAGGAGGTCAAGGTTACAGTGAGCTATGATTGTGCTACTGTACCCCAGCCTGTGTCTCAGAGCAAGACTCCATCTCTGAAATACACACACACATGCACAGAACACACACCAAAGAGGACCCAAAAAACCTAGGAATTTGTTTATGAAAAATTGTGTTTATTCTTACATGTTTCAACTTCAGTCACCTTCAAAGTAGTCTCTGTTTGATGCAATACACCTAGCAAGACACTTTTTCTCCTGCTCAAAACAGTTTTTGAACTTGTCCATTCTGATGCCTTTTAGTGCTTCTGTGGGTTTTTGTTTCACCTCTTCCACATCAGCAAAATGCTTCCCTTGGAGGACTTTTTTCATCCAGAGAAATAAAAAAAAGTAACCTGGGGCAAGAATGGGGGTCATGCTGTTTTGGCTATTTAAAAAAACTGCTGAACACTCAGCATGATGTGGACAGGCACCCTTGTAAATCACCCATCATGAAATAGGCAAACGCTTGAAAGAATGTCCAAAAAATTCACTGAAGCTGAACACAACCTCTCACAACAAAGTTAGCTGGTCCACTGGCGCCGGTGGTTCCTAGAATACTTACCCAGTGGGGGTGTCTGTACTACAAGGGGTCTGCCTTCCAAAAAATAATTCTGTTTCTTGGGGGGGTCCCCCTTGCACATACACACACACACACACACACACACACACACACACACACACACACACACACATACACACACACACTCGGGCTCCGCTCAGGCCTCTTGGCAGGGGAAGCTGGTATGCTTTTCTGGTCAAGAGCCCTGGAATGCATGGAGCAGGCCTGAACCGTCTGCGCCCCAGTCCTGTGGGTCCCTCAGAAAACTGCCCTCAAGCCAGAAGACCTTGAAGCCCAGATGACTTCAGTCAGCACTGAAGGACTTGTCCGGACAGGACCATCGCCTCTGCTTCTCTTCACCAGCCAGCCCTTGACAATGATGCACTTCAAGTGGAACAGAGTCCCTGGAGTGGCTCCGAACTCCCAGGGCCACACTGAGACATCTGCACCCCAGTGCCTGGCTAGCCCAGACCCTCTGAGGCCTAATGGATCTCCAGCCACAGCCAGCCCGGAATCACCCTGCACCAGGGGCCTCGCCAAGAAACAAGCCTCTGCGCCCGAGGACAGCCCCAGTGTGGAGGCCTGCAATCTGAGCATTCTGCCTCTGGGCTACTCAGTTCACCCCGAGCTGCGGGTCTCACCTCCCAGCGCACTCTGGGCATCTGGTCACATGTTCTCGTCTCACAGTTGGACCATGAACTCCTCGAGGACGGGGCAGGTGTGTCCGCTTCTTGCAGTCCACAGCAAAACACTCAGCAGAACGAAATACTCTTTCCAGCAAGCCACCCAGCCCTGTCTGCTGCTGTCACTTACGGCATGCCCTGGAAACACCAGTCCACACTTCCATTCTGCCAGCATGGCTAGAGAGTTGCTGTTCACAAGGAATTGGTGTGGAAGCCAAAAGTGAGAGGACCGTGGCCAGCCACTGAGGAGCCTGGGTCTGGTGGGGGGCGGTGCTCACGTGACGTCAGGAGAACATGACCAGTGCCCTGAAGAGCCATCCCAGGATGCTGGAGGGCGGGAGGGCGTGGCTTCTACGTCGAGGGTCAGAGGACGTCTCCCAGAAGTCCTGCCAAGGCAGAGTCCTCGAGGCCAGTGGAGGTGGCGATGGATGACTCCGAAAGACAAGCGGACATGGGAGACATCACTCAGTTGTTGGGACCCACTGAGCACCTGCCCTTGCCAGTCCTGTGCACTGTGTGCCTGCCCTCCAGGTGCTTCCTGATGGGGCGTGAACTGGAGGCCTGGAATGCAGGGCAGGTGTCAAAGACCTCGAGTAAGAGGAGCGGCCCTTGGAAGTCTCTGATGCTGCCTCAGAAGCTCCCAGACAGAAATTTGTTTTTATTTCTCTTGGCTTTTGGGCCCTGCCTGGCCTCGCTTTGCTAGGCAATGAAGGACACGGTTTGTTTTTAAACAGAGAAAGGACTAGAAATAAGTAAGTGGGTTTTATCAAGACACGTCTCCCAAAAAGTTCATCTAAGCTAAACGTGCTTAGAATGAGGGTCTGTTGTATACGAGTTCCGACCATTAAGTTCAAGAACTCAGCTGGGCTTAGTGGCTCAGCCTGTTATCCCAGCACTTTGGGAGGCTGAGGCGAATGGATTGCCTGAGCCCACGGGGAGTTCAAGACCAGTCCAGACAACTTGGCAAGACCTCGTCTCTACAACAAAATGAAGTAAAAATTAGCCAGGCATGGTGGCGCATCCCTATAGTACCAGCTCCTTGGAAGGCTGAGGCGGAAGGATGGCCTGAGCCCAGCAAGTCGAGGCTGTGGTGGCCGTGAGCGTGTCCCTGCACTCCAGCACTGCACGACAGAGTGAGACTCCACCTCAAAAAAAGGAAGAAAAGTTCATGAACTCATCCTAGAAAAAGTGCTCCATATCTCACTGCCAAACACCACTGTGGTCACCTTCGAACCTACTCCCCTTGGGAAGCCGTGCACCAACGCAGCACCTCGTCCGCCTGTCAGCGTCATTTTGGAGCTCTTTTTCTGGAGTGGCCCTCAGAGCCATCGTGGCATTGCCCTTGATGTCCTGAATATCATCAAACATCTTCTTTTCGGTATTTCCTTTATCTTCAGGTAAAGAAAAAGGTCGCTGGGGAACAGATCAGGTGAGGAGGGAGGTTGTTCCAACACAGTTATTGGTTTGCTGGTGAAAAACTCCCTCACAGACAATGCTGCGCGAGCTTGTGCATTGCTGTGATGCAAGAGCCCCTTTGGGACCATTTTTGCATGTGCCTTCCTCTTGCCAGCATTTTCAGTTAAGAGTTTCCTGACTGTTTCTCTACCGATGCTTATTTGGTCTGCTGTGCTTCTCACAGTGAGCCAATGATTTTGACCGCCGTTCGGCGAATTTTTGTAAGGTTTTCATCAGTTCTTGTTGCCAGCCCTCCTGACCTCTCTTCATCAGTATGCTTTCTCTCCCCTCAGAAAACCGTTTAATCCATGTGTCCACTGCCGTTTTCTTTATGGCATTATCCCCATAAACGTGGACTAGCATGCCCCTGATCTCAGTTCCACTCTTGCCAAGTTTAACAGGAAACTTAATGTCTGCTTGTGGCTCTAATTCAAGCTCCGACATTCTCACAACGCCACACAAAAACATGCAACAACAATGAACACCACTCAGCAAGACCCTGCCACACGTCGGCAGAAACACAGCTGTGAGACACTGAAATACCAAGGTTAAGAAACCTTCCCAAGTGGTTTGTACAGTGCTGCCCATGTAAGCACAGAATGGCAAACCTGTGGACTTAATTGTCAGACCTCATATGTCGGGGGCGGGTGGGTATGTGAGGGCAGCACGTCCGGCAGACGCCACACCGAGCCCCTCCGAAGCTTCTTGGTCTCGACCTGCAAATCCTAGCTGAAGGCAGATTCTGATTCAGTATGTCTGGGGGTGATGGGAGGGGGTTTCTGCTGAGCTGGCGGAGGACATTGGGGTGGGACGGCATTCCCGACTGGCTGTGTGGGAACTGCAGCTCCTCACTGGGGAGCAGAGTGGGCAGCAAGGCTGGGGGGGGTCTGTTGAGGAGTCCATTGGGAGGCTTCTGTCAGCCTTAGCTGGAGAGAAAATAGCCAGCCTCCCCATCCATGGATTCACTTCTGTGGGTCCAACCAAATGAGGATTAAAATTATTCTGGTGGAAAAAAGTGTGTCTGTACTGAACACCTACAGACTTTTTTCTGGTCATTACTCCCTGAGCAACACAGTGTGACAACTAATTACATGGCATTTACATTGTGGTGGGAACTATAGGTCTTACTAGTAATCTAGAGATGACCAAAAGCATATGGAAGGACTCGCGAAGCTTATATGCAGACCCTAGGCCATTTTATGCCAGAGACTTGATCATGCATGGATTTTGGCGTGGGGGGTACTGGAGACAGTCCCCTGCAGATGCCAAGAAATAACGCATGAACCCGGCAGGTAAAAAGGGCAGGTAGATGGTGGAGGTGGGGTTGCAGGACTTGAGGGACAATTCCACAGAGCACGAGGAGCAGGTTAAGGGTGACCCCAAGGCTTTGAACCCGGCGATGGATGGCTGGTGGCGACGTTGGCTAGGTCAGTGCAGGAGCCGGCACATGCTTGAAGGGAAGGGTCTGGACAAGCTGAAGTTCGGTGCCTCTGGGTCTGCCATGGGCCACAGGCTACAGGGATGTGGAGTCCGGATTCAGAAGAGAGGCAGCCGTCAGTCAGTCAGCTTTCCACCGCACAGATCTGGTCGGTCTGCTTAGAGCCCCCCAATGGCTTCCTACCGTCTAACTAGAAAGTTCAGGCTCCTCCTCATGGTGAACAAAACTCCTTGGATCTCTTCTTGCCAGCCTCTGTGCCACACCCCATCACGAGAACCTGCTCGCAGGGCTGCACATTGACCCACACTCCCGGAATCAACTACGTGTTTGCTCTCACCAGTCCTTGTTTCCACAGGGCCCTTCTGCCCCATCCTTTTCATGTCCAAAAACTCCCTCCCTTCCAGGCCTCCACCGACCCTGCCGAGCAGATGTGTTAGCACCCATCACTGCCCCCAAACCTCCCATGTGCTTGGCCTGCTGCCCATCACCCCCAGCCCAGCCGAAGGCGTTTCAGAAGCAGAGGCTAGGTCGACTAGCTTCGAACCCCCGGTTCCCAGCACGCATTTGGCACCAAGGAGACATGCGAGAGGCTTAAAGCACGAGCTCTCCCCCTGGGGGGACGCTGCCAGGCCAGTCTTCAGGCAGTGCCTCCCACCTTCCTTCCCAGGGCCCTGCAGCTCCCCGCTCCTGATGCTAGGGGACAGCAGGAGAGCCGCCCTGACCCCGCCCTTCTTCTTCCTTCCAGCTGGGGCATGGCCGTCAATGTGTACTCCACATCCGTGACCAGTGAGAATCTGAGTCGCCATGACATGCTTGCGTGGGTCAATGACTCCCTGCACCTCAACTACACCAAGATAGAACAGCTCTGTTCAGGTAGGAGGCTGGAAGCCGGGAAGCGGCCCTGCCGGAGGGACAGACGCAAGAGGCGGCCAGGCAGGTGGCCCCAGCAGGGGTGCAGTCACCGAACGGTGGGGATGCGTTCTGAGAAAAGCGTCGTGGGCAACTTCCCATGGTGCAAACGTGGCGTGTGCTCACACGGCTCGGACGGTGCTGCTGCCCGCACCCCTAGGCTGCACGGTGTGGCCCGTGGCCCCCGGGGCCACACGCCTGCCACAGCCTGTGACTACACTGAGTCTGGTAGGCCGTCGTAGCGCCTGACGAGCGTCTGTGTGTCCAAACACTTGTACACATAGGAAAGGTACAGCCCAAACAGCACGTCAAAACCCTGCGGGATCACGAAACACTGTCACACCACGTACAGCTGTAGCATTCCTCCAGGGTTAAGAAGCGCGGCAAAGCTGCACCTGGCATGTGCTTTGGAGCTGCAGTCAGGAAATGGAAGCAGGAAAAGTGAAGGGCAGGGGAGGCAGGCAGGAGGCCTCTGTGCTGGGCGGGGGCGGTGCTGGGAGCCAGGACAGGCAGCAAAGCCACAGGCATCGCCCACGAGGTCTGGCCCTGCCCCTGTGAGTCCAGCACTTGCTCTCCTTCGGGTGGGACAACCTGGGCAAGTTGCTGCACCTCCCTGAGAGGCAGATGCTGTCACCAGCTCACCAGGGTGCTACTGTGGAACAGTGCCGGCGTGCAGCGTCTTGGGGCTGGTGTGTAGGTTGCATTGGCCAGCAGCCTTTGTGCTTATCTCGGGAAGCTGGGGGGTTCTGGCCATGTCCGTCCTGAGGCAGCCCTGGCCCAGCCCCAGATCGGGACAGAAGAGGGCCCGGGCCTGAGGAGTGGGCCGGGGTAGGGCGGGATGTGGGGCACAGGGAGCCCCTCGGCAGCTCCGCACAGCAGCTTATCTCCTCAGGAGCCGCCTACTGCCAGTTCATGGACATGCTCTTCCCGGGCTGCGTGCACTTGAGGAAGGTGAAGTTCCAGGCCAAGCTGGAGCACGAATACATCCACAACTTCAAGGTGCTGCAAGCCGCTTTCAAGAAGATGGCTGTTGACAAAGTAGGTGCCTGAGCTGTGTGGCGCCGGGCAGAGATGCCCGGGAGCAGGAGCTGGGGCCCTTCCACCCCAGAGGGACTGCTCCTGCCACCGGCGCTCCTTCCCTTCCGCCTCTCCCGACCCTGCCCATCCAGACCCCGAGGCTCGGCACTGCGCCTATGTCCCGTCTCTCTGTAGGGCCCAAGAGAAGTCTCTTTGCTCACTCTTCTGCCTGGACACCGCATGACCGTGGTTCTGAGCCCCCGGTCCCCACGCAGCAGTAGAGCCAAGGGCCGCCTCCCACAACCTCTCCTGTGCCCGTAGGAGAGGGTTATCTCTGGATCCAGGCTGGGGCCTGCCAGTCGACCTGTCTGCTCGGCGCCCGGGAGGGACAGGCAGGGAGGCCAAGGCTGCCCCCAGGGGTCGGCTCTCCTGGGTGCAGGAGCCTCTCCCAGGAAGGCGGTCCTGCGTGGCTGGGGCTAAAGTGCTCTGCTTGTGTGGTCTATTTCAGATCATTCCCGTAGAGAAATTAGTGAAAGGAAAGTTCCAGGATAACTTTGAGTTTATTCAGTGGTTTAAGAAATTCTTTGACGCAAACTACGATGGAAAGGATTACAACCCTCTGCTGGCGCGACAGGGCCAGGATGCAGCGCCACCACCTAACCCAGGTGATCAGATCTTCAACAAATCCAAGAAACTCATTGGCACAGCAGGTAACGTGCCCGAGGGGGGAGGGAGTGGGGGCCGGGAGGCTCTGCAGCCAGGAGCTCCCGGGCCACCCAGCCCTGCAAGCCGGAGGAGACTGTTATCTCGGAGTTCAGATGACGCTGCAGACAGGGAGTGACCCTAGGGGCGAAAGGGCTGCAAAGCCACTCTGGAGGGGAGACCCGCCCCAGCCCCTTGCTCCCCTGCCCCAGTCAATGGGCGCCGCCCAGGTGTCTCCAGGCCTGGGCTGGTGCTGGCACCACTCTGCCTTGCCCTGCCCACTGGATGCGCAGGCAGGAGCTTCCCCAGCTATCTCTGTGTCCCGCACTCCAAAGGCCTCGGCCCGTAGCCCTCCAGGGCTGGGTGTCAGAAGGAAGCTGTCTGGGTCCTGGCGGGGGCAGCGCCCGCCCGCGTCGGACCCCGTTATAGCAGGGCCACCTCCCGGTCTGCGCTGCTGTGCACCTGGGCCTGACTCCTCGCCGCTTGCTTTGCCTTGGACGCAGCCTGCTGTGTCAAGGGAGGTGCCGCCAGGGAGCGGTGGCCACTGCATGCTGGCCGCACCGGGGAGAAGTTGGGCCCACCCGGCCCCTGCTGTGCGATGCCCAGGGCAGCCCGCAGGGGGCAGCAAAGCCCATCCCGAGGTGGACCAGGAGGGCTGGCTTCTCAAGTACCCTGCGGTCTGGGAGGGTGGCGCGCCCCAGGATAGAGGCCGTGGCTGGAGCGCCTGCGAGGACAGACTCCGTGCCCGCTGCTCCACCTCGGGCTCTGCCTGTCCCTGAGGAGGGCCCGTCCAACCCCACCTTCCCAAACCCGCCACCCCTGTTCCCTCCTCTCCCCCACCCACACCTCACACCTCCTCCTCACTCCTGCAGTCCCTGCCCAGGCTTGCCAGAGGCTGCCCAGCTGCTGTAGCGTCCGTGTGGCCAGGGCGAAGATGCCCTTCCCGGGTGGGATGGTGCCTGCCTGTTGCATGGGCCCGCCCTGCAGACCGCACACAGGCTGTTCCTGCCACATGCACCATGGACGTGCGTGGCCTCACCGACCCTTCTCCCCTGGACAGTTCCACAGAGGACGTCCCCCACAGGCCCCAAAAACATGCAGACCTCTGGCCGACTGAGCAACGTGGCCCCACCCTGCATCCTCCGGAAGAATCCCCCCTCCGCCCGAAATGGCGGCCACGAGGCTGATGCCCAAATCCTCGAACTCAACCAGCAGGTGAGTGGGATGGGCGAGGGTGGCCGAAGGGCCCTGCCACCGAGGGCAGGTCTGGGTGTCTGCGGGGACAGGAGCCTGCCGCTGGACTGCTGGACGCCACCTCCCCCGCGCAGCTCTTGGACCTGAAGCTGACGGTGGACGGGCTGGAAAAGGAGCGCGACTTCTACTTCAGCAAGCTGCGTGACATCGAGCTCATCTGTCAGGAGCACGAGAGCGAAAACAGCCCCGTCATCTCAGGCATCATCGGCATCCTCTATGCCACCGAGGTGAGCCGCTGCCACCCCCAGCGTCGGGCCCCCAGCCCTCCCCAGCCTGGCCTAAGTCTGAAGAGTGTCCTCTGAGGGGGAGAGGGGGCCCACCAGCCCGGGTCAGCAGAGCCCTCTGTCAGCCGGCAGAGCAGCGCAGGGCTCTGGCCCACTGCCTTCCTCTCCCTTCCTGCCCCCAGGAAGGATTCGCGCCCCCAGAAGACGATGAGATCGAGGAACACCAACAGGAAGACCAGGACGAGTACTGAGGGCGTGCAGCCTGGCTGACGTCCTGGTCCCCATGCCTCCCTCCCGTGCCCCCACATTACAATCCTTTCCTAGCAGTGGCCGGCTGCATTGTGTCAGCACCGGCACCAGGGAGCCAGGCACACGGGTAGGGGCTGGCGCCGGTGGGCAGGCAGAGGCCCCGGGGTGGGCTCCCTGCCCCCAGCCCATCCACTACTGTCATCTTGTGCCGAGTTGGCCAGCACTTGCCGGGGTGCTGCTGCCGCCCGCCCACCCACCAGCCACCCGCTCCCACGGCAGCAGCTCCAGATCGGCAAAGGCGTTGGTGTATATTTACTTCTGGAGTTTCCTTGCACTTTACCCGTTCTTTTCCAGGGCTGACAGCACGGCCCTGGCAGTGGGCCGGGGCTGGGGCAGGACTCCCTGATTCTTATTTATTTTGTCTTTTGACTTCCTTGCCACAGGGGGGAAGGCTGATGGCAGGAGGGGCCTGAGGAGGTGGCCCTGAGCCCTGAGTAGGGCGCGGGGGGGGGGGGGGGGGAAA